ATATATATATATATATATATATATATATATCACACACACACACACACACCCACACACACACACAACAAATAAACAACAAATTGCAGGTAAAGGATAATATTCAGAGGTTGAAAATGGGAAATAGATTCACAGAAGATGAAAAGGAAATGTGTGAAACACTAAACGAAAAGTTCCAAAGTGTGTTTGTACAAAATGAAATCTTTAGGGAACCAGATACAATAAGAATTCCAGAGAACAACATAGAACACATAGAGGTGTCTAGAGACGAAGTGGAAAAAATGCTCAAGGAGCTTGGTAAGAACAAAGCAGCTGGCCCAGATGGCGTTTCACCATGGGTTCTGAGAGAATGTGCATCTGAGCTCAGCATTCCACTTCACCTGATCTTTCAGGCATCCCTGTGTACAGGAATCGTAGCAGACGGGTGGAAACAGGCTAACATAGTTCCAATCTACAAAAGTGGCAGCAGGGAAGACCCCCTCAATTATAGACCTGTATCATTGACAAGTGTAATAGTGAAAGTATTGGAAAAACTAATCAAAACTAAATGGGTAGAACACCTAGAGAGAAATGATATAATATCAGACAGACAGTATGGTTTTCGATCTGGAAGATCCTGTGTATCGAATTTACTCAGTTTCTATGATCGAGCCACAGAGATATTACAGGAAAGAGATGGTTGGGTTGACTGCATCTATCTGGACCTAAAAAAGGCTTTCGACAGAGTTCCACATAAGAGGTTGTTCTGGAAACTGGAAAATATTGGAGGGGTGACAGGTAAGCTTCTATCATGGATGAAAAATTTTCTGACTGATAGAAAAATGAGGGCAGTAATCAGAGGCAATGTATCAGAATGGAGAAATGTCACAAGTGGAGTACCACAGGGTTCAGTTCTTGCACCAGTGATGTTTATTGTGTACATAAATGATCTACCAGTTGGTATACAGAATTATATGAACATGTTTGCTGATGATGCTAAGATAATAGGAAGGATAAGAAATTTAGATGACTGTCATGCCCTTCAAAAAGACCTGGACAAAATAAGTATATGGAGCACCACTTGGCAAATGGAATTTAATGTTAATAAATGTCATGTTATGGAATGTGGAATAGGAGAACATAGACCCCACACAACCTATATATTATGTGAGAAATCTTTAAAGAATTCTGATAAAGAAAGAGATCTAGGAGTGGTTCTAGATAGAAAACTATCACCTGAGGACCACATAAAGAATATTGTGCAAGGAGCCTATGCTATGCTTTCTAACTTCAGAATTGCATTTAAATACATGGATGGCGATATACTAAAGAAATTGTTCATGACTTTTGTTAGGCCAAAGCTAGAATATGCAGCTGTTGTGTGGTGCCCATATCTTAAGAAGCACATCAACAAACTGGAAAAGGTGCAAAGACATGCTACTAAGTGGCTCCCAGAACTGAAGGGCAAGAGCTACGAGGAGAGGTTAGAAGCATTAAATATGCCAAAACTAGAAGACAGAAGAAAAAGAGGTGATATGATCACTACATACAAAATAGTAACAGGAATTGACAAAATCGACAGGGAAGACTTCCTGAGACCTGGAACTTCAAGAACAAGAGGTCATAGATTTAAACTAGCTAAACACAGATGCCGAAGAAATATAAGAAAATTCACCTTCGCAAATAGAGTGGTAGACGGTTGGAACAAGTTAAGTGAGAAGGTGGTGGAGGCCAAGACCGTCAGTAGTTTCAAAGCGTTATATGACAAAGAGTGCTGGGAAGACGGGACACCACGAGCGTAGCTCTCATCCTGTAACTACACTTAGGTAATTACACTTAGGTAATTACACACACATGGGGGCCTCGTAGCCTGGTGGATAGCGCGCAGGACTCGTAATTCTGTGGCGCGGGTTCGATTTCCGCACGAGGCAGAAACAAATGGGCAAAGTTTCTTTCACCCTAAGTGCCCCTGTTACCTAGCAGTAAATAGGTACCTGGGAGTTAGTCAGCTGTCACGGGCTGCTTCCTGGGGTGTGTGTGGTGAAAAAAAAAAAAAAAAAGTAGTTAGTAAACAGTTGATTGACAGTTGAGAGGCGGGCCGAAAGAGCAGAGCTCAACCCCCGCAAGCACAAATAAGTGAATACAAATAAGTGAATACACAGTATATATATATATACACACAATGGGGCCTCGACTTACAATGCTAATCTGTTCCCAGAGACAGATCGTAAGTCGAAATATCGTAAGTTGAAGTGATTTTTCCCATAAGAAATAAAAGGATTTGAATTAATCCGTTCCCCACCCTCCAAAATATTACCATACAAATACCTAATAAGTTGAGTAATACATAACCAATCTGATTTGACTTCTTTACAATTCCAATTGTGAACACAGTAGGCAAATGTAGTGTATGCATGCGATAAGTCACAATAATGTGACTGAAGTATGTTGACCAATCCACACTAGAAAATGAAGGGACGACGACGTTTCGGTCGAATGGACTTGAGAATGGTCCAGGACTGACCGAAACGTCGTCGTCCCTTCATTTTGCAGTGTGTGGATTGGTCAGTGTAGTGTATAAAATTACAGATAAAAGCATAAAAATGTGAAATCAAATTAATTTTATGTGGAGTGGAACAGTAATCAATAATGTTTATATTTTCCTACAGAAGCAACAATATGAACACTGCACAAAAGGAGGCACTTAAAAGGTAAATACTTTATATTGAAAGTAACTGATAAAAATACTGTAAATTTAAACTGCAGAATAACCAATTAAGAATGATGATTAAATGTTATAATTACTGCTGAACAGCTGTACTTTAAAGCTTCTAAATATTTGCTTTGATAATTTTAGATTAAAAGAGCTGCAAGAGAAAATGGTGGGTGGAGAGAAAACTCAGGACAACGAACTCAAAGCGAAGAGGAGCAAGCGAAAGAAGTATATGGAGAAGAGGATGAAGATCTTGACACAAGCACTGAAGAATGTGGATGACGAAGATGGGATTATGATTAAGGTGTACGACGACATTCACGAGGAGCTCAAAGCTAAGACTGAACTGGTGAAGCAACAGAAGAACAAGGTGAGGCAGACATTGTAACGCTACTCTGCAACCTCTGAGTGTACCTCAGAGATTGTAACTGAAGATAAGAGATGCCAAGGCAAAGCATTTTTATGATGGCTGGATGTTTTAGACAAAAAAGAATGGAATTAATATTTAGGAGGCTTCAGCAACAATAAAAATGTTTTAGGAGGCCAAGTGTAAATGCCTAGGAGGCTAGGTCGGATAAGATTTTTGTCTACATGGGAATCGGTATTTCATTATTTAACATTAGGAACAAAGCCAAGGTAAACATCTTGTTGAATTAAAAAATTCTTATAATTTTTCATAATGTTTTGAATACTGCAACATATATCATCAAATCTCAAATTTATAACAAATTATATGCCATTACAATTCATTCAAGCTTTAAGAATATATGAACAGTGAGAATAAACTATGAAAATGATTGAAAATGCAGGAATGAGCTGCTGCTATTAATTTTTAAAAACATAATTTAATACTATAGCAATAATCCCCTGTATGTACCCTGAGTTATTAATTGCCAATGCCTTTTCCTTGAGATTGAGGTCTCTAGCTTGTTGTATGAAATAAAGCTTCTGTATAAGGTGTGTCCTGGAGCCACCGGATATATCACCGAGTCTTACTGTCCCTAAGGATCATTATAGTTGCTCTATTCCTCAATTATTAAGTAAGGACGAGTAGTAAGAAGCTTGTGCCTTTACAGTGGAGGTAGTTCGTATTACCTTAGAGCAGGTATCTATGATGGAGTAGAGGGAAATGGAAGGCGACCCCAGGGATGGCATTCCAGGTCATGGTCATAACAAAATTCAATTTTGGGAACACAGTGTGGGTGTCGTGAATGCAAATATGAAGCATAAATCCAAGCAGTGACCCATAGCAGAACTAATGTTTGAGGGGAATGCCAGGAATAGCAAAAAGCATGTAAATAACTAAGACACTATAGGCACTGGGCTGATGACACTAGGTGAAAGAGGGTAGTGACCAGCTGTGACCTTAGGTGACCTATGCTACCATCTGGTGATGGTTAGGCACATCACAATCAGGGTATTTACCCCAATGCCAAACTCATTTGACTTATTTATCTACGAGTGCCTTATTTCCTTTAAGTAATCGTTTGTCTTGCCACATCCATTTTTTCTGTTTTCTGTGGGGAGCCCCTCCAGCTTCCCAAAGCTATACCAATGCTGATATGCATATATTAGACTGTGGTATCAGTCAGTTCGATTGAGTTCTAGCCTACCTGGGACCATGAGCCAGAACCTGACCCCCCTCAGAGAGGCAAGAGGAGCAATGGCCTAAAGAAACCCCATGTGGTTAGAAGCATTCTACGTCTGCCATCTACCGGGTTAGGCACCTAAAAAGGTTGGCGTCCCAAAACAGACTCCACCTGATTAAAATTTCTACCGTAAACCAAACTATCAAGCAGAACTCCACAATTTGAAAACAAGCATGACGTCGCAACCGCCACCACTGCCTGTGCAGCTTCCCCCTCCCTGAGAGGGGGGGGGGGGGGAAGGGGAAGCCCCAGACCCCTTGCACCAGCTACCCAACCCCAGTTTTGAGGCTGATGTGTTGCATGGAGGTCATTCGACTCTGACTCCTGTCTCTGAGCAGTGCTGTATCTTTCCGGTGTTGTTCTTCTGTGTGGTGGTGTGTAAGCCAGGAGTAATTCATGGAGTACTGGGGCTGCATGTGCCTAGTGCCACCTTCCCCAAGCTGCAAGTACTGCACTTCGAGTTGCCTTCCACAAATCGTTCGGGAACTACTTCCATAGGGATCTTTTGCTGCTCAGTGATTACCCACCCTTGGGGTCAGCTAGGGTTTTCATTTCCAGTTTGACATTGGGTAGGAAGTAGTATCATTGCTGATAGGGGCACAAGATTCTGTGCAGCTTGTCACCTATTACACGGCGGCCAGTTTTGTTCCTCCTGGAGACATTGTACTTTTCCGAGATATTTCTTTTCTTTTTGTTTGTTGCCTAGTGGGGGGTACTCACCTAGTTGTGCTTGTAGGGGTCGAGCTGTGGCTCTTTGGTCATGTCTCTCAACCATCAATCTACTGGTGTACAGATTCCTGAGCTTCTCAAGCTCCATCATATCTATTGGCTCCATCATTGGGTATTCCAGTTGTTGAGTTTTTTGAGGTCTTACATAATTATTTCTGAAATAATGAAGAAGTTCTAACCAACTGTGATTTATATTTGTCATATCTGTAGCATTTAAAATGCCATGATGAATTTTAATAATTTTCATATATAACAAAAAGTTTCTCTTGGCTTTGTTTCTAATGATAGTTTATATTTGTAACAATTTTGAAGTAGAAGTCACATTTCCAACATACTATATACACCAATTATAAACACTAGTAATTTACAGAATTTAAAGCCAGTGTCATTTGTCAAACTGAGCCTCTTACATATTTAAAATTGTCCAATAAATGGGCAACCCTAAAGTAGTTAAAATATTATTATAGTTACAGTAATAGTTGTTCTATATGGTTGCAGATCAGTACTCTGGAAAATGAAATAAGCGACCTGTCCTCAGAGTTTCAAGAAGAGAGAACCGACTACCTTGAGACTATACGAAAACAAGAGCAACACTTGAAGCTTCTTACCGCTATCCTGGAAAAGGTGAAAGATGCTGACATTTTGCCATATGTAATCTCCAGCTTACACTATGCTGCAAGTCATATTTGCATGACCTCGGCATCATTTCTTCCCATTCTTCTTTATTACTAGGCACTCATCGTGAGCAGTCAAACAACTCAATAAAGAGTATAGGAATGTCTGCCCTCACAGCACCTTCAAATTAATCTGGGGACTGTAGCCTCTGCTAGGACATGTGAAGCATTAGCCAACCTGACCTTTTGTCAGGTTACAAGATATTCATATGGCGTCACCTAGCTGGCTGTCTCAACAAAGTTTCATGTTTGAGTGACTTGCTTAGGCCAATAGTAAGCAACTAAGTAAGCAATAGTAATCACAGCAACTCCTTGCAAAATATCTTGAAATCACCTTGCACTTATTAGTTTCCATGCATAGAGTCTTGAAACATTACCATGACAATGGCACATTCTTCACTTCTGGAAGGTTAGTCATAGTCGATGGGTAGACTTTGGCTTGAATACAATTCTTCATTAATTTTTTATAAATTGCCTTTATGCCCCTTCGGCTCCCAGGAGCTATCCGGGCTGATATGAATGTATTAGACTGTGGCATCAGTCAAGCAAATGGAGTTCTAGGCCTACCTGAGACCATGAGCCAGAACCTGGCCCCCTTCAGAGAGGCATGAGGAGCAATGGCCTATAGAAACCCCCATGTGGTTGGAAGCATTCTATGTCTGCCATCGACCGGGTCAGGCACCCAGAAAGGTAGGCGCCCCAAAACAAACCCTATCTGGTTAAAAATTGCTACTGAAAGCCGAACTGTTGGACAGAACTCCCCAAACTAAAAACGAGCAAGATGTCACAAACATCACCGCATGGTTGTCTGTGCAGCTCTTCCCTCCCTGGGAATGGGAAAGGGAAGCCCCCAGACCCCCGCACCAATTATCCATCCTTTAATTTTGAGGCTGATGTGAGACCTGGCGGTCATGTGACTCTGGCTCCAGACTATTTCCAGTGCTGTACTTTGTGGTGTGGTCCTGTTCTGTGGTGGTGTGCAAGCCAGGAGTAATTTCACAAGTACTCGGACTGCATGTGCCTAGAGTTACCTTCCCTAGGTGCCCTGTAAGTACTGCCCTTGTGGCTTGGGGTTATCTTCTACAAATCGCTTGGGGTATACCTCCGTGGGGTCTTTTGCTGCTTGGTGATTGCCTACTTTTGGAGTCAGCTGGGGTGTTTCATGCATCACTGTTTGTCTCCTGGTAGGTGGTAGTTTCATCACTGGTAGAGGTGCAAGGTACTGTGCAGCTAGTTTTCACCATAATATAGCGGCCGGTTCTGTTCTGCCTGGGTCGTTGTCCTCTTGCGGGGTTTTTATTTTATTTTTGTTGTTCTGTCTGGTGGGGGTCTGCCCCTTGGTGTTGATACCTCTTATATATATTTTGGTGGTCCTCCACTAGGTCCCTGTGAATGTAAACGTCTTGGGGGTTCAGCTATTAGTAGTTCACTTGGTAGTTTTGGGCACCGGTTAGCAGTACCTTGCCTGGGCTTCTCCTAGCAGCATGTCTAAGGCCCCTAGAAAACCCCATTGGGGCTCAGTGGTCTGATGGATGTGTTCCCGATGGATGGGCTGTGGTGGGTATGTGGGCCTTCGGGCCGCTCCAAGCGACAGCCTAGTGGACCAAACTCACAAGTCCAATAACCATGCATCCCCTGGGTCCCACCTCGCTTCGTGCGAGTTTGAAGGTTGCTCTGTCCCCTTGTCTCAGGGTGACAATCATCAGTTGTGCCTCCGTCATGCTGCCTGATGGGCCGGTGACACCTTCGAACCAGAGTCCTGTGAGTGGTGTTCCTTGCATGTACTCCAGTTCACCCAATCCACTGATCTTAATATTCGGGTGCAGGTGGCTTCGGCGTTGCATGAGCGTTTTAGGGTGCCGCAGCACACTAGGTTGGATGCTTACCCGAATGTCCCGAGACTGCCCTGTTTTGGTTATAGGGACCTAGACTTGGGGGTGTTAGTCACCTCGACTTTGGTTTTGTTTGCGCCCCCTTGTCCTTTCCTTGCTGTGGTTCGTCCTGATCCTTCCACCCCTGCACCCGGCTCCAAAGCGTCTGAGGGTTTTGGAGTCGGGGCAGGGTTTAGTTGGTGTTGAGACTAGCAGTATCGTGGGATGCCCTTTCTGGTGTGGTGACAGAGGCATTCGAGCCTGTTCCTCCTGCAGGTGCTTCTGGGTCTGACCAGTGGGTCCCCTTCGTTACAGTTCTGCTAGTGGCTTCTGCCTTTTCTTTTGAGGCGGAGGATTTGGAGGACGACTCGGGCCCCAGGTCCAGGTGTGGAGGTTCCCATGGTGGGGGAAGAGGCTGACTTGGGGGGCTTGGGCCCCATTTGACCCCGATTGGGTTTTAGTACCCTCTGAGTGGGACTTGTTGTTGCACGGGGTGGAGTTTTCTTATTCCCCCTCCCTGTACGAGTTTGATATGGAGTCAGATCCTCCCCGGGTTCGGTTCCGGGTTTTCTTGGGTACTTCGGTCCCGTTCTGGAGGCGTTCGGCCTCCTGCATCCCGCCGCATGAGGTGCGGGAGGCCATTGCAGCTTACCTGCTGTGCGACTCGGATTATGCCTTGATAATGGATCCTGCCTTTTTTTAATTCAGTTCTTTTTTAACTTACTGGGTGTGTTACGAGGTTCTGGATTCGTCCTGGTTGGCAGACTATCCTGTCGTTTTGTTGGGGGCATGGCATACGTTCTGTCATACTTGAGTGGTGAGAGGCTCTTATGGTTGTTCAGGTTTAACTGGGGGACGAATTTGAATGCCTCAATGGGTGTTTGTTTGCCCCTGCCTTTCCTCGGAATGTCGGCCTGGTGCAGCTTTACTTGTACGTACCCTCTCTCTCGGCGTCCCTGGTAACTGAGGACTTGCACGCCCATGGCCATTTGGTTTCAGTGCTCCGTTTCTTTTCCCTGCTCGAACTGTCTTTGGACTGGCTAGAGGAGGATGTGGAGACGCTGTGTGCCGATCCTGGGTTTGGTGCACTGGCCTCGGCGTTGAGAGCGTCTGCTTCACTGTTGAAGCTGTTTGCACTGATCCTGTGGGAGACGGTGTGTCTGTTCTTTGCTCTTCGTCTCGTGTGCCGTCAGGCGCTGTGCACTCAATCCTTGGAATCTGCTTGGGCCCTGGCTCTTAAGTTTTCTACGCCTTTTTGTCCTTTGCTGTTTGCCGAGTCTGTGGTGGTGCGGTATTTACAGGTCGTTTCTTCTAGTTGTCGTCCCGAGTCAGATTTGTTGGTTCTCACCCCTCAGAAAAGCAGCGTTAAATGTAATGAAACGCCATTTTCTGGGCGAGACTCGGAGGCTCCCAGCAGTTTTTCGCAGTTTTTGACATCCAGCCTCTGAACTAAAGTGTGGATAGTTGGTGCATTGTTCAGGGGCCTCTCCTTTTCCCTTCCCAGGGAGGGGGTAGTTACGCAGACAGTGGCGCGGTGACAGTTGTGACGTCATGCTCGTTTGCTCGTTTTTAGTTTGAGGGAGTTCTGGTTGATACCTGGTTGATACCTGGTTGATGGGGTTCTGGGAGTTCTTCTACTCCCCAAGCCCGGCCCGAGGCCAGGCTCGACTTGTGAGAGTTTGGTCCACCAGGCTGTTGCTTGGAGCGGCCCGCAGGCCCACATACCCACCACAGCCCGGTTGGTCCGGCACTCCTTGGAGGAATAAATCTAGTTTCCTCTTGAAAATGTCCACGGTTGTTCCGGCAATATTTCTGTCCAACAGTTCGGCTTTCAGTAGCAAATTTTAGCAAGATAGGGTTTGTTTTGGGGCGCCTACCTTTCTGGGTGCCAGACGATGGCAGACATAGACTGCTTCCAACCACATGGGGATTTCTATAGGCTATTGTTCCTCGTGCCTCTCTGAGGGGTGCCAGGTTCTGGCTTGTGGTCCCCCAGTAGGCCTAGAACTACTACATTCACTTGACTGATGCCACAGTCTAATACATTCATATCAGCCCAGATAGTTCCGGGAAGCCTCCAGGTCTCACCCAGAAAATGACGTTTCATTACATTTAACGCTGGTTTTCTTCTGTAACATTGTCTTGTCTTCCTGCTGCTTTCACCCTTGTCTTTCTTTCCCTGCATTTTCTGCCACCTCCTCATCCTTGTCCCTTGTCAACACAGAGTAGTTTACCACACTTCTCCTCTGCAGGTGCAACCCACCATCAGAAGAGACTGCAACTATAGTAACATAGATGCAATCAAGAAGGAGGCAGTGTGGGAGGATGAATACCAACGCTGGCGGATGCCTGAGCTCATGCTAGTCAAGACCAAGCTGCCTCCTGCTGGTATGTGTGTCCCCCAGCTTCCCACAATTATCTATCCCAACCCCCCCATCTCCCTCAATTTCTTCCCACCATACTAACAACAAAGCAATCTCCTTAAAAAAATGTGTATTCCATGGCCTCTTGCAAAGCCTATTGCGGCCTTGAAGCAAATTTCTTCAATGCGAAGTCTTTACGAAGAACTTGCCTCAAACACTTAACGTAATTTTTTTAGTTCTTGACTTTTAAAATGCACATAATTTTCCTACTATCTTACAAATCTGAAATGTGTGATTTTTTGAACTTTTCGTAAGTAATATGAAAGGTTGCTTTCATCATCTATGAAGACAGGTAGTTTTGTACCAATGATTGGTATTAAAAAGTCTTATGGAATTGATGGAAATGGCAGCATTATGCAGTCTTATGGGCAAGGTAGTCAATGTCATTAATGAGAATGATAACCTACACCATTGAAGGGAAAGGTATCCTTATATAATTGTTGGGAAAAAACAATGTTGAATGTAATGAAACTCTATTTTCTGGGCGAGCCCTGGAGGCTTCCTGAAGCTACCCGAACAGATATAGGTCCCGTATTCGAGCCCGGGCGCCAGCGAGAAACAATGGGCAGAGTTTCTTTCACCCTATGCCCCTGTTACCTAGCAGTAAAATAGGTACCTGGGTGTTGGTCAGCTGTCACGGGCTGCTTCCTGGGGGTGGAGGCCTGGTTGAGGACCGGGCCGCGGGGACACTAAAAAGCCCCGAAATCATCTCAAGATAGAAGATATGTGCTATATTAGTTTGGGGTCATCAGTCACATGAGTTCTTATGCCTACCGGGAACCACGAGCCAGAACCTGGTCCCCCTCAGATATGCAGGGGAGCAATTGCCTATAAGCACTTTACATTTAAAGTATGTCATAATTGCCATCGACCGGGAGAAAGACCCAGAAAGGTAGGCAAATCAAAACAAACCACAGTCTGGTTAACATGTGCAATCTACATCCAAAAAGATAAAAAATAACTCCCTTAGAAAGAAAACCAAACAAGCAACCTTTCATGCGACTAGCACTTCTGCTCGTTATTGGTATTCTCCCCCTCCCCCTGTATGGAAGGTAGGGGAGCCAGTTCACTGGAGCCAGCAGCCCACCACTTCAGTTCTTAAACGATGAAAAAAAACACTGACTGGAGGGAAAAATCCCGGGTTCGGACACTGAGCAAGCAGTACCTGGAACCAAAGTTGGGCCGGCCACCATGGACCCAAGGGACTCACCCTCCCTTGATAAGATTCCAAGCGAGCTTGGACTCAAAGCAACAGAGGGACTGTGGGAAAGAGGTACAGGAACCCCCATCTTCACCAGTCTTGCCGAAAAGCATCTACTGCGATGGCCTCAGAGTTGGGAAACGGAGCCACATAATGGGAGACACCGAGACCATGCCGAGGCAAAGCGGTCCACCTCCTGGTGCCCATACGTCCGGCAAAGCCAAAGGAAGGAGGCAGCGTCGACCTGCCACTCCGAGGAAAAAGGAATGTTGCGTGACAAGCCATCCACCAGAACATTGGACACTCCCTAAACATGAACATCGCGGATACCTAAAACCTTGATAACTCGGCAGAAGCTCTACCCAAAGCTCACCAGGCCCAAAGAGCCATAATGGTCGAGACAATGAACCACGGGAAAGCAGTCCGAATGGAGCAAGGAAGCTGAATCCAGCGCAGCGCCTGCCACACCGTTACAAACTCTCACACCGTGCTGTGAGCCCGACGTAACAACAGGCCCCAACGACCAAGGCCGGAATGGTGAGCACTGGTCTCAAAACATCATCCAAGAGACAAGAAAGCCATGAAAACATCGAGCGAGTGAAGAGAGGAGCCATGGCACTGAACCCCGAAAAACTCAGAGGAAGCAGGTGACGCAGCAACTGATGCAAGGACACCGGGAAACAAACCCAGCGATCGCGAGATCGGCGAAAGAGGCTGCCCTGAATAACCAAAACAGCCTCTGAAGCCAAACCCTGCCAAGTGGAGAAACCACAAGAGCAAAGTCAGGTTCCCGGACAGATGCTCGAGCAACCTCCGAATGACCCGGGTCCCTCTCAGAAACAGCCAAAGGTGCCGGAGCAAAGCTGCGGGAGGGAGAGAAAGGGATGCAGTTCGAGAATCCCATATGAGGCCCAGTCAAGTCCGGATCTGGGACAGAACCAACTGGAACTTACGCCAATTTACCAAGAACCTGAACCCAGCATGCTGGGAAAGAACCAGTTCTCTGGCTTGTTCTTTTGTCATGGTGGATGACTGTCTTACTGCTTTTGTTGTCTCCTGTTCAGCTTGAACAGAATTCAGAATTCGTACAATCTTAGCTTTTAGATAGTAGTATACTGACTAGTAAGTAATTAATTTAAAATAAATGACGCTAAAGCACAAACCGAAAAATTCCTAGGCCTAGCATAGCACACATACGTACTATATTAGACCCCAGGTATTGTGTAATAGGCCTAGAGAGGTTAGGATAGGTTAGTTTCTTTAGTTTGTTTAAGCAACACAAGTAAAAAATAGTTTTCCAGTTTGTCTAACTCAATAGTTAGATTTTTGGCTGCTCCCCCCATGGTTCCGTGTCCTGATTGTGAGGGGTTGCCAAAGCCAAATTCCATGACTCTTTGGGGCTGGTCGCTTTGGTCCATGGCTCTTTGGGGCTGGTCACTTTGGGTTGAGATTCTGCTGAGTTATTGGGGTTGAACTCTCTGAGTGGTCCACATTCAGAGCGTGTCCATCGCTCTGGCAGCTGGCCTGTCTCGGTTCATTCCTCCTTCCACTGAGTGGCCGGTTTACGCCACTTGCTTCCTTTGGCATTGTCGGGCGTATATCCGCCCAGAGGTGGACCTCTTCGCAGGCTCTGCATCTCCCGTTGTCTGTGGCGTCGATCCCTGACTGCGAGGGTGTCGTGGGAGATGTTTCATCTGGACTGGTCGAGGTGGGGGTTTCTGTACCTCTTCCCTCCGGTCCAGCTGTTGTTCCAGGTTCTGGGTTACTTAAAATGTTTTCATAGGAGGGTTCTTATTCTGGCTCCATGGTGGCTGGCCCGGCCTTGGTTTCATGTGCTGTTTGCTCAGTGTCCGAACCCGGACGTCTCTCAACGGCTCCGCCTCTACTGGCAGATCGGGCCAGTGAGACACCTTGCTGGTTTCCTTTACTGCTCCACACTTCGTGTCTGTTCTTTCTGATGCAGGGTGTGTCACCATTTCTATGGCTTCTTGGATAGTGTCCCACTTGCAGTCTTCCAGGCGACATAGTATGACATCTCTTGCCCTGTCAGTTCCTTTATCTTAGGGAATTTTTGTTGATCTTGGAGCGGGTTTTTTGTCCTTTCTCTCTCTCGGCTCTTTCTGGACCGGCATCTCATGCTGTATACTGTCGCTTCTTATCGTGTGGCATTGGTGGAGCCGCTCCACCTTTCGTTCGGGGGTGGATGTTACTTCTGCTCCGTTCCGCAAGCTTTCATGTGTGTTTTTTCATCTCTGTACTACACATGCACCGCCTGCACCTTCCTGGGCTTTGGTCCAGGTTCTTTCCTTTTGTAATGTACGATTAGTTACGTTGCTGGGTAGATTAGATATGCAGTGTTTAGTGAGTTTCATATTTATTTAGTAGTCCTGGATACAGCAGTGTCGTAGACATTGAGATGGAGCTTGGAGCAGAGCAGAAAGCTGAGTGTGGCTGGAGTCGCGGAGCTCTATGTGGGAGAGCGTTGTAGCTGGATGCGGTCCTAATCTGCTGTCTGTTCTGTGTCGAAGCTGTAGCGTCTTGGAGACGATTAGAACTGCCTACGCCGAGTGCTACATTCTTGAATGTGGAAATTGTACTGTTGTCTATTCTCATATCGCTTCCTTATATTTGCTGACTACTCCTCAGCTTTCTCTACTAGGATAGGAGGATGTGAGAACTGTTACCTGTAATTAGGGATAGGATTATAGCTTGTGTAGTTAGTGCTAATTAGTTATGCCACTGAGATAATAAGATAATGGAGCGAGTATAAGGATTACTCACTACACTTTCTGTTCTTCACCTCAGTTTGTGGTGGCTCCTTTGGTTCATGACTGCTTTTGAAAAGCCTTGTTTTTGTTGGCTTTGGCCTTTGGGGGGTCAGGTTGGAGAACTTCATGCTCTTCTCCGGCAACGGGGGTTTGTTTCGTTTGGTCGTGATGGTCGTTTTGTTCATTTGCAGCTGGCTCCTTCTTTTCTGGCAAAAAATGAGAAGGCGGGCTTGTTGGGGCTCACCTAGAAACTGGTGTTTCATTACATTCAACACTGGTTTTTTCATATGTTGTGTTTCAATTCCATAGTTAAGTAAACTTAAAGAAGACCAGGATGGTGCACTGCTATAGTGCTTCATGAGCTTTGTAGTTATTAATGTATTACACTCACATTAATGAGGTTCCTCAGGAGTGTACATAAGACACATGCTGCTTCTGTAACTTGTTATCTTATAGGAGTATGTTGTTTGTATACTTACATGCCCATCTAGGTACACAATAAGTGTAGTATCTCTCTAAACCACTGTATATGGCTGGCGATTGACTCTGGTACTGATCGAACACTTGCCAATATACTTTCCTTATACTGTACTTATCTTTCCAGTATACAGTACTTATCTCTGATAGGTATACAGCCAGGATCCATTGTTTTGACTTGATACTGTCCATGGTCAGGATACACCAAGCATTTATGCATCCATTTACGAAACATATACATCTTTCTTTAACCATGGTTGTTTTGTTTACATTTATTAAATAGTTTGCAAGTTTTGAAACTCCACAAACAAAGGTTATTATTGTTATTTTGTTATTAACAACCTCATATTACTTCAAAGCTCAATTTAATTTAATAAATGTAACTAAAGCTGTCATGATTAAGGAAAGATGTACAGGTTTTGTAAATAGATGTATAAATGCTTGATGAAACCTGGCCCTAGGCTGAACGAGCCCTTCATCATGGTCGCATTTATATGTGCGAGTGTAATGTTTACCAGT